TTGTATCCAAGTCTTAGCATCATACATTGTTGTTTGTTCATCCTTGTTAGGTTGCGTCGGGTTTGCTGTTTTTTATGCATATGAATTTTCTTTCTGGGTTTGCTTGAACAATTTTTCATCTGTTTACGAAAATTTCTTTCGAACATCATTTTTCTTCCTTTTTTAGAACGGTTGAGAGGTCTGATTCAACCAACCCAGAACCCAGGCCTAGGTTAGTTAGGTCCCTGAGTACTGGTGAATGGTGATTGACTGGAGAGGGAGTGTCTTATTGGGAGAAGACTGAAATCCTTGAAACTCTTCCTCCTACACTAAAGAGTTATGACAATGGTTTCTCATCTCGGGGTTCTAGGAGTGCTAGAGCCCCATCCCATGGAGGTCACACTACAGCAGAAATGAGATTTTGTGGTGGTTCAAACTGCAGCGAAAAAATTCCATGGCATTTTAAAAACTAATGTCAAATTTGATGCCATTAAATAATTTTGCGTCGATTTTGGAGAACTGACGGAATAACCACCATTAAAAATACAACCAATGCTATGTCATGCAAAACCTACGTTAAAATACAATTATTTAATAAATTTTTAATATTTACAACAGCAGTTATGAACCTCCACAAATCTGTAATATTAAACACCATGATATTAACATCATTTTCGTGTGAATATTTACTTTTTTCTGCTATTTTTTTTTAACTATTTATTGTTGGTTTATATTGTAATTATTTATATCATTACACAAAACATATTATTGATTAATCAAACATTTAATCCCATCTAACAATGCTATTTTGATTCTCCTAACAGAACTTTCTTGCTTACTGAAACATCTATGAGCTTACCAATATTTAGTTAAAGCAATTTATATTTCTATGTTTGAAATTGATATCATTGCTTGAATTGATGACATTATTGGTTGTCTTTATTGAAAGAGGTGTTCTCTAGTTAATCCATGAAGTAGAGAATGCGGAATACAAGCATTGAAGATTTTTTCTATAATGAAAGAAAATTTCTTATGGTCGTATCATAATTATTTCTTATTTGATTCTCTTTAATTCCCTTATTGTAGGATTGATTACTCCTAATTATTTCTTTATTTTTAACCTTAAATTAAGAAATTTATTATTAATATGTATTTCCATTCAACCTTATATAATTTAACCATGTGTATATCATTGGTTATTAAATCATATGCATTAGTGTAATTTGTTTATTTTTAGGATAAATTATTTGAGTGGAGGAATGACCGTGATATGGTGATTGGAAATGATGCATCTACCGACCAATCTGATAATAAATTATTCCTGCAGACTGTTGAGGGTATGAGCAAAAAGGGCCGCATTTTTGGTTTAGGTGCAGAGGCGAGTAAATACAAGGCTTCACAAAAGCCTGCTAGTTCGTCCCAAGGAGTCTCTGCAAATGAGTATAATTGTATGAGAGAGATAGTGACAACCATATTCACCCAAAATCAAGAATTGCAGACAAAGATGGCTGTTATGATAGAGCAACTAAAGATTTTGATGGCTCGTGTCTCTATGTCCACTGCTACACCTCTTGCTCGTGAGGCACACAACGAGGTTCAAGTTGGTGATGATGCGGAAGATGATGTCTATGATGCTGAGTTACATTTTGTGATCTTTTAATACATTTTGTGAACAATGCTTATTATTTGATATTGTAGTTTAATATATTTGTTATTTTTGCTTTTATGATACTTTTTAGCTATTTGATTATGACTATGATAGCTTGTATGGTTATAATTATTACAAGTTTCAAACCAGTTTTGATTGGTTATATGACTTTGATGATTTATATTACGACGATTATCAAGTATAAATTTTGTTAAAAAAAATTCAAAATATTTTATTGAATAAATTTTGAAAGTAGGGATGGAAAAATTCTGTCCCTAATATTTTGAAAGTAAAGATAAAATTAGGGACGAACAAAATCCATCCCTAGTAAGGACGGACAAAATCCATCCCTAGTAAGGACGGACAAATTTCCAAATTCCATCCTAATAGGGACAGACAAAACCCGTCTTTTTAGGGACATATTCTTACATTTTACAACTCATAATTGTTGCCAACATTAGGGACGAAAAACACATGTTAGAGACGAATTTTATTCCATCCCTATTAGGGACAAAAATTATTTCGTCTCAAATTCCGTCCCTAAATAATTTCGGGACAGATTTATGGCTTTTAGAGACGGAATTTGTTTGTCCCTAATACCAGTTGTTTTAGTAGTGTTCATAGGGTGGTGTCAATTCTTATTGGTAGAGAAGAATGGCCTTTCATAGGCTATTTCTTGGGCAAAAAGCCTATAGTGAGGCTAGTTTCATTAAATGTAGTGGCAGCACCATGGAGTTAATGTGGTGGTCATGTTGCCTGAGTTGCTGATTTCGACAATGATGTTTCCTTAGCTACTAAGTCACTTCTGGCTTGTTAGCCAAGTAGGCGAGATGCCCACAGTTTATATGCTGATGTGGTCCATTCATGGTTAAGTCTACGGTTCATTTGAGCCTTTATTGGGTTAGGCCTTCATCTCGTATATATTAGGCCCAGATCTGTACAAATATTGAACAATTATTCTTAGTACGTTATATATTTGAAATTTTAATCGTTGATTTTCTTCAACTACTATCGTTATAAAAATCTTTTTACTTATTATCCACAAAACTACCAAGGTATATTGGATATAGTATGTTCCAGTACAAATTTGGATATACAATATGCTTTGGCGTCAATAGAAAATTTTATTTTTACTAATGCGCAGATGAAATTCTCTACTTAAATAAATTATCATTTATTATTGCTTAAAATTTTATTTTTAATTTTATTTTTATTTATTTATATTATGTTTATTATTTTATATTTACAAATATTTAAATTTATATATATTTTTATATGTAATTTTTTATTTTTTAAATAATAATTTTTTTGATGAAGGCAAGCCTTAACCCGTCCCTCTAAATCGTAGGACTTTGAGAGGTTAGGACACAAAAAGATCATACCACAAAAAGGCCCTAATAAGTTAGGACATGTATAAAACTTTATGGTTTCAGGCTATTTTGAGACCTCTATATGCAAAGATAAAGAGTGAAAAAATGATAAGATTTGATTTGTATTCATTTCATCAATTCGTGTGACCTGCGTGTATTAAGTAAAATATCAGATGATCTGTTCACAAATTTAGAGATTTGCATTGTCGTTTAAAAAAAAATTATATTATTTGAACAAAGTATATTATTGATTATGGAAAATTATTCTCTTATGTAATGGAAGAGAGTTATCTTATATTGTAGATATATCGACAAACGTGCCTTTAATTTTTTTATTTTTTATTTTTTAACACATGGTGAAACCCACCATGTGTTGAGTCTATGACATGGTAGGAGTATCTTCTGGCTTCTATAACATAAGATTAAATGCTCCCATTGATTATACGTGTAAATTGTTTTTTAGCGAAATAAAGTCAGCCTTGTTGTTTATAAGTATACACGAGAATGATAACACATGATGCCTACTGAACATTACTTTTTTTTGAAAACACTGAACATTTCTAAGCCGCGAGTGGTAGCTTTCTTTCTTTCATTATTGTTTATGTTTTTGTTTGTTTGTTTATTTATTTATTTTTTATTTTCTTGGTGGTTGCTTCTTGCTGCGCTCACTTAATTTGTTGTAAAATTCAGCTCAAGTAGAGAGTCATGTGAAAATCGAATGAGAAGATAACTAAGACATGACTCGTTGTGCCTTATGAAGCTGTCTCACGCATAGCCCACTATCTGATAGTACCGAGCTTAACTTGTCATAGGCTTATCCAACCCACTGGACATTACCATGGCTCGCATGTCTGGTCCAGGCCTCCAATAATTTAACATGCACACATCAACTATTAACAAAACTTGCATTCCGATCTATTTTCACCTTCAATGATGGTATAAGTTTCCGTCACCCAATTTTTTTAATAATCCGAATTTGAGTTTATACAATATTAATTTTTAATAAATGGTCGTGAAATTTTGGTGTCATGTCATGCATTTCTTGGAGGGATAATCTTCTCATAAGGTAACAGTTGCCATCAACCTACATGCATATTTTCTTTATTTCTTCTAATTTTGTGGTCCAGTGCCGTCTCTTCGTCAAAATGGGCCACAACAGTGTAAATGCATTGTCCATCATGTAACATGTGAACCCACACATAATATTTGACCTTCCATACTACAGCAATCAATACGTGAAACATGCTGGGCCCAATTGGTTGCATGTAGCGAGACAATAGGCCCGGAGTCAATTAATACCCCATACCTGCTCACTTCTCTGTCTAAAACTAAGACTGCCCCTAAAGAACCACTTCCTTCTCAATTTTTCTAGTTTCATTTTCAAGGACCAGGCCTAGGTCCCCCACTATCATAGAGGAGTGTACCCAAAATCTTTTTTTTTTTTTTTTTTTTTTGGTAAATTTACCGAAAATTCTTCCCACATGTTTGTACAATTAATGTGGAGGTGCAACTTGCCTCCAGGGAAGGATATGTATGTATTCAGTACCATTTTTGCACAATTTTCCTTGCAAATTTGTTTCCACTGGTTGATGAAAGTAGATCACTGACTGAATGCATTTGATTATTCATTTCAGATTGCATATGGGTCATGTTTAAACTGTCTTATTGGAAGATTTTTTAGTGAGCAACACATGCACACACACACACACATATATATATATGCATTCTCAACTACAAAAGAACAAAACTGGTAAATGGTACGTTTGCAATCATTAGTCCCCGGTTTGTTTTTTCTTTGAAGCTATTAAAAAGGCACACCTCGAACAAATTACTGATGTCACTTTGATGTTTCTTTCACCTTATTATCGTAAAAATTATTAGCTGGTAAAACTTAAAGAGCCTAGATTAAGATTTGAGTAGCTAACCTAAAATGTACTCATGACTTAATTATCAAAAAAGATATATGTTCTTAAAATATATAATAATTAAAAAAGGTGACCGAATATATAATGTACAAATCATTAATTCCAAAGCCTAAAAAAACTGCAGCATTTATGTGATGCTGTCCAACTTGTCTGTCTATATTTTATTTATCCTAATGTACGAAACTTTGTCTGTTTTTCTAGTTGAATGTCCCTAGACTCAGTTGTGTATGGGAGGCTTTCTCATTGCTGGAGAATAGTCCATCTCAGTTATCTCTACAAGGTCAGGATAGTGCTCATGGGAGAGATCTTGAAGCTTGGAAGTACTCAATGCATTTGCTTTTACTTCCTCTGCTTCCCCATTGACATTCACATTTCTAGTGTTGCCATTTACCCGGGGTTGAGCCTTGTGCTCTCCATTCTTCATATTCTGTTAGCATATATATAATATCATAAAGTTGAAAAAATAAAAAAATTCAAGGTTTGCATTTCATAATATAATTTGTTTTATCTCTTAACCAACCTTTGCAAGGGATTGGGTTGTGCTAGCGGAAGTGGTAACAAGTTTCCTATTCTCTATTCTTCCTGCAGCAACGTAACAACATTCAAGATTTTTAATACTTTTTGATTTATATATGAAATAGATTAGTATATAATAACTAAATTTCTTTCATGATGCTTAGTAAATATATTATTCTACTATGTTTTAAACCAGAAACCAAGAGAACGAGAATAAAGCCTTGCATTTTTCTACATAACCACAAAATTAGAACTCATCAGGAGTTTTTGGGACAAAAATTAAGATTCTGAAGAATGCTTGTATTATAAGGAGAAACAAAGAAGAAAGAAAAAAAAGAACTTGTGGGCTTAAAAACTAATGGTGTCTAGGTCTATGCTGTCTAGGTCCATAATAATCTTCATGAATGCGTGGTAACTGGTTATTTGATTTTCTGGATACTCTAGAGGCTCTTTTCTTCTGGCTACCTGTGCATTGTTCATCCATGCAGTGAGGAGCTTCCTCAGCATGAGTATTACTTCTTTTCAACAAAGTGCTTTCCTCAGCCTGCAGTCAGAAGTAAACATTCAACTTCCATACAAATGTGAAAGCATAAATGAAGGTTGAAATTTATGAAGAAATGAATGCATAAAACTTCAAAGTAGTGATCACCTACATGTTGTTTCTGTTGCTGACCTGATAAAGATACTTTCCCCAAGCGAATCCCTGCAGAAAAAAAAGAAGGAAGATTAGAAATCCAAAAATTAGAAGGCCTAATTGACTGAACTGCTGTTGAAAATGAATACTTACCCTGAGACTTTGTAAGGAGGAGTGACAAAAGCAGAAGAGAAACTACAAAAGAAGGTCTCATTTGAAGAAAAATATTGGGAAGAAGTAACCAGTTTGAATCCCCAAACAAAGTGGGTGGAATTTTCTTCAGGTCTTTCTTCCTGCGAGGAAAAGCTTAATTAATTGAGTATAAAATTGGATAATGTGAGTGGTTGATGTGGGATGAAGGATACATGGATGGAAGCTTATTATATATATACATATATATAGTGGCGTATAAGGGTCCACATTTAAGTTAAACCTAAAACTAGGAGAGGGTTTTTTCTACCTTTTTCATTTGTTGTCTTCTGGCACCCCTCAAGGCTCAAGGTGCCACCCTATGTCAAAGGAAATTACTAATCATTTGAACTCCCAATCATTTAGGTCCTAAAAAGGTTTTGAAGTTAATTGATAGAACATATTAATTAAACAGCACAGGAGCTATTGCCTAGAATATTCACTGCATTAAACATAAAAAAGAATACAGATCTAAGAGTTAAAATGGGAAGTCCAAAAGAAAACATGGAAAGATATATACAAAATGTGAAACCTAATTAAAAAAGGTTCATTTACTTTGGGGAATGGTACATTAAGAATTTTACGAACCCTATTAATAATGGGTTTTATAAGAGTTATGTTGTAGGAAAAGTGATTGTGTAATGTTATAGAAATTCGTTTTGCGTGTCGTAATTTTTTTTCTTTTTTCTTCAAAAAGTGTAGGCCTCACAAAATGTTGTGTGTGTAGAAAAATTTGTTGTGTCATATTAAATGACAAATGCAAACCCCTTTTATAATATATACAAGTTTGCCTCATTGCACTGTTCATTTTCTTTGTTCTTCATGAATCCACGCTTCAAAGTTAGCAAAAATCTCCACGATGTCAGCCTTTTTGTTCTGTCTGGTTCACTTTTGTGCAACGATAGTACAAGACCAAGTGTTTTCCTTATGTTCATTATATTTTGTCTCTCATCACCGTATGGTTTTTAACTTGCTCTAGCTAGCTAGCTAGCAAGGTAGAGGGAATGCAATTTTACGTTAATACATCTTATCTTAGTTATCTATACTCCTTCTATCACTTTATGTGAATAGTAAAATAGTAAAATTAATCTTATTTCCGTGATTCATCATATCAGTCTTATGTGGAAAGGACGCTTGTTTATAACTGTTCAGATATATAGTTTTACATTGGTTGTATTTGCAACTAATGTGGAGTTTATAAGGCATTGAGCACTCTCACTCTTTGAGCTAACTTTTGGGGTGGTGTATCCCAAGGTTCTTTACAATAACCAACAATTTTTATGTATCAAAATTGAAACGTGCTTCAAATTTAGTTAGCGGATAAAAGTTAACAATGATGTAGTTTGATGCTACCGGCCATCTTCAGAAATGTCCAATTGCAATATTAAATATGATAGGAAGAGTTTTATTATATATAGTGTGTATTTCACAATGACAACGTGAGCAGTAATAATCTCATCGACTTAGTCGAGGTACTGAATTAACTGATCATAGGTTCAACAGGTAAATCACCGATTAAAAACATGAATATAACGAGGGAAGTTGAAAGACAACGTTTGTGGGGTGATATTAGTGATAAATGTCATAGCAGTGCCAGTGCCTACATAGGACTTTGTCGCTTAGTTGCCTTACCAAGGGAAGGAATGGACCAATCCACGTGGACGTCGACATCTCGGTATGAAGTGGCACACCAATCACCACGTGGGCACCGCCACTTCACGCATGGTGTTGCACCTCTCGGCAGCACAGAAACACATCGGTGGCTACCTTGTCAGAAATTGTCATGTGGGATTGTGGAGTCACCTTCATTTTATTAAATTCACTCCAATTCCTCATTGAAACATCTAGGAGTAATCTTATTTCTTTTTTATTATTCAATTTATCCGTAGATTTGCATATAATCATTTCATAACTTTTTTACATATAAATTCAAACTTCAATGACTTTGCCTCTTTTTAATTCCTATCCCATAGCATTCTTTATATGGAAAGAATGATCTTTTTTGTATATAAATGTGATGTGAGGTGAGTTCATATCTGTGTTCTGTACATTTACTATTTAATTAATTTTCCAGAGAAGATGATTTTCCTATGAATATATATAAGCGTCAACATGTGATTTGTCACACAGGTATATTTTTTAAGTAACATCACAGATGTGTGATTTTGATATGATTAATGAAATAATATATTATATATGAGGATCAACATGTGATTTGTCACACAGGTGTATTTTTTTATTTTTTTATTTATTATTTTGTAGTACATAACATCACAGAGGTGTGATTTTGAAATGATTAATGATGTTCATACATAAGATATGTTTATACATGAGTAAGTGTTGAATTTTGATTTATTTGTGACAGTGTGATATCAACTAAATAAAAAAAATCATGTCTTCTACACCTGTGCAGATAGCCACTTGACTGACCGTTGACTCAAACTTAACATGAGAATTAATGAAGTTAAAGAATAAAGCAGAAATTCAAATATGGATTAAAAAAATAAACACTTAAGAAAACCGCTTCGTGAGTTTTAATTTAAAATAATAATAGATTATTGAGAAACAGCGGGTTAATGCTTAATTTAGTTTTTGTGGAATTCCAGAATATATGTCGCCATAATCACGGGCATGTGCGTTTGGCCTCTGTACCGCACCAAAATGTACGTCACTCAAAAATGTGGATACTCATATATAGGGGGACTATTGTTTTGATAAAAGTGAACAGTGAGCACAAACTTTATCAAATCATGATTGAATAAGATTCTGTTATGTCTTGACAATTCAAATACGAAAGAAATAACTATTGGCTAGGGCTCTTGTATAACGCAAAGCGACTATTTAATAATACTATGGTTTACGATTAGTTATTTATCCTATTTTAATGCATGGGTTCGAGGGACACAAACCTTTTAAATTTTTTCTTTAATTTGTAACTTTTCGTTTAATCGATGAGTAAGTTGAACATCACATAAGGAAACGATCTAGTTCAAAATCAAGGGATTCAAAAGATATTCTTTATTTTAATTAGCAAGTGTGAATTGCTTTTACAAAACATGAGTCCGACATTGGGACGTTATTTTAGAGACTAAGAATTTGGACTGCCTAACAATTGAAAGGTGTACGCACCTTTCTTTGTCTCTATTTGTGTTTTATGTTTTATTAAAGACTAAACCTTGATACTTGATTTCTGAATATGTGCCTGTTTATAACCAAACAATCCAGCTTTGGTGATGTTATGCATTTGGTTATACTATTTCCAACGACAAAACCTAACCAAATACTACTATCCTGTCATGTTTCTTTGTTAGTTTAATATAGGAGTTTCACTTTATATATTATAATACAGAATAATATTTAGTTATGAATTTGGTGTTTATGTTGTGTAAGGGGGTAAATACTAGTTCAGCTTGCTATGGAGTGCGAAGGAGTATTTACAGATCCATATTTATATTGTAATTTGCCTGATATCCTGGACGTTGATTGATTATATTATTGCTTTTACGTCCCTCCTATAAACTAGAAGAGTTTGTCTTTGAATTCGTCAACAAATGAATTGACTTTTACCTATTAATAAATAAAAATTTATCAATTTAAAAATCAAAACACCGAATTAATTTCATCAACGTCATTACCTAGGTACTTTTTCTTTGAATTAACTATCTATCTACTTATTTATATATAATATAAAAATTATTTTACCACTATTGTCACATGGTAATTTTTTTATTCTATAAATATTTTTAATTTTTTTTTATCTTTTAACATCTTTCATTTATATCTTTTTCTGGATTTTAATCATTTTTAACCTTTCAATATATATATATATATATATATATATATATATATATATATATATATATATATTTTGGTAATAACCTTTCAATATTTTAAACAACGAATGAAGTATATTCATTTTCAATAAAAAGAATATATTTTATCATAAAAATATGAATTATTAAAATATTCTAGAAATGCTATTCTGTACGTAATATATTTATAATTCTTTTTTTCTAATATTTTATAAAATCTAATTATATTAGTATTTAAATAAATGAATTTCCATTAAGCACTTATAATTGGCAGAAAAGTAAAAAATGATATCGGAGCAATTTTTTTTTTTTGGTATACAGACTCTAATTACTCTTTGAGACGAGTCAGTCCCCCGATATTTTCACAAATTTTAACTCTGAGTCGGCTATGAGATTAATCCTGAATCGAGACTTAATCTCGGTTAAAGCTTTTCGTCCCTTCTCAAAGATGTATTTGGTGAGAATCAAACCCAACCAAAAATTCCAATGCTTGGAGTCCATACCCGCGTGGGTCAAGGTAGGAGGGTTGTGACAGTAGGCTCCTGGCAAGTTTCCTGGGAGAGGTATATGAATGAATCGAATCCACACCCGAACGAGAGGGATCCAGAGATTGTGCAAGTATGAGACTGTATAGTTGAGTATGACTTGAACAAATTAATATGTACTACCTATACTAACAAAACACATCTACTTTTTAGTTTTGTATAATAATTAACTTAAGAATTTCATAGTTAAACGTGCTTGACTTGTAGCAATTCTAAGATAAATGACACCCTGGAAAATTTCTCAAAAAATGTGAGAGTAAAGACAAAACATGCTAAAATGTATCATGTTAATTTATGAGGACAGTCATTAATCCTATAAGTGGCCAGACGTTACAATAAAATATACTTGCGTCAATTTACGGCCGGTGGTTAAACCTACAACCTTTCTTATTGTCTTTTTAACTTTATTCAATTTTTTTTCTTTTCATTATTAATCAACATAACTTGGAAAAAATGGAGATAACAAAAGGAAATAAATGGTGGAGAGGCAAATTCATTGCCACATATATTTTTTAAACTCTTCACTCATATTTTTTTTGTTTAATACAAATTATAAACTAAAATACATACACAAATAAAAAGAAAACGGACAAAAAAGATAAACCAACAACACTCTAGACTGCAAAATCTCTCTCTTTGGGGTGAACACCCTCTCAATGATATTTTCAGCATTTTGGAGGAGAAGAGGAAATAGAATGATTTGTCGTTAGGTAGAGATTGTAAAATAAAGAGTAAATACATTTTTTGGTCCTCAGCAAATTTCAAATTTTATGATGCCTGCTTTAGTCCCTAGT